GGGGGGGTGGGTGTGTGTGTGTGTGTGTGTGTGTGTGTGCGTGAGGGGTGGGGGAGATTTCAACTTGATGTCCTCTCCATGTCATCCTCACCCTCCTCCCCTGTGACGCTGCAGCACTGAGGGCAGCTTTTGCTGAGTCGCCACTCGCTCGCCCCAGGAGCAGGAGTGAGATACACAGCGCCCCCCCCCGCTCGCCCACCGGGAGCGTTGGCATCATTCACCCCGTGGGTGCAAGATCCTCTAATTGAGATCAAAGGGATGCCCTTGACGCAGAGCAGGCGGCGCAGGGGCAGCACGGTGGGGCGTGTCGCCTCCATGTGGCCGCTTAAAGACACTGCAACTCAGACAAAGGTGAAGAAAACTAGTTTAGTTTTTTAATTGAAGGAACAAAAGCCTTCAAATGATGCTCAGTGGGACCTTCAGATTGTTGGAATTATACCGAATGAGCTTCAAGAGGCTTTGGGGTCACTGTTAACAGTTAACACAAGCTCTGTGAAAAGAAGAAATTTATTATGAACTTGAAAGAATGTCAAAAATTATTTCCCCATCTCTGAGAATGTAATAACACAGATATTCAAAAAAAAAAAGAAAGAAAAGAAAATGCTGTTAGCGGTTTTCCTTCATTTAGTTCTTCGCCAAAAACTTGAAGCTCTGTGGCCGCCCTTGAGGAGGAGGCTTTACAAACAGATGAAAGAAAAGAATTCAACTCATAGTATCAGAAATCCTTGAACGGATGCTTAAATATAAGAGAAATGTTTGTAGATGCTTTCACTTTTGCACAGAGTTAATACCTTTTCTACGCTTTTGTAATGCTCCCAACTGGCTTAATTAATATCAACACATGGCTGGAATGTTTTTCAAACTGGCCTCATACTGCTTTCTTAAACGTTTAAAGTTGTTAAGCCATCTTTTGAATACACTTTTTAAATTTTCTAAAAGTGCAGGTGGAACTCCCCAATAACCGGTGTATTTTATTTTTACTCTTACAATGGTTCCTTTGAGTGTGAGTGAAGTCACTCGTAGTGCCCCCGCATAGAAATACAGAGCACAGTTCATTATCGAGCAACGGCGGCATGGAATTCACTACAAAGTTTTTCAATTTCAGAAAGTAATACAGCATGCTTCAACATAAAGGTTGTGTTTGTTTACGCCAAGGTTATTACAGTTAAAGCTAAACTTCACTTTAGTTAACTGAAACTGAAAAAGTATTGTGGAAAATACACAGTAAATGTCAACACAACAACATTCTTCACAACTTCTGAAATATTGCCCCTGACAAAATGTTAGAATAAAAAATAAAAAAAAAGAAATGAAGCAGCTTTTACTATTGACTTTAAGTGGCACTAACTTAATTTTGTAACTTACAGAAACATTCCTGATTTAAGTTTTTTACTGGATATTTTGTTTTCACAGTACAAATCAAAATGACAAAATTAAGTCAATGTCACTTTAAATTACTAAAGCTACTTTTTAACTTAATAGAATTTAGTTATTATTATTATTATATTATTATTATTATATATATTATCTTACACGTCAAGTTCTTTTTCTCTTCTTTTTTATATCTGCATATTTATTTTGTACATACTGCCTCTCCTTTATTCCTGCTGTGCTATGTG